CTGTTTATTGTTCTTATGGAAGAGTAAACTTGATAAAACACTATGTTTGTTCAATGAAAATGACTATTCAGCGCTGTCGAATTCTCTCTACAATAAGTCACGGGAACCTACTCCAATCATCTTAATCGTAAACAATGCTCCTGCTTCTTGCAGTGGGTTAAACGTATGCAAATTGGAACCTACTGTTTCATGAGTGATCAGTTCTTTGTTGGGAGTGGAAAGAAATGTTGTACGTATCGCTAAGATGCTGAAAGAAGCATAACCAGTGTCTCCATTCTAAAGTGTATACATCTTTTGGAGATGCTTTGGAGAGAATACTTTGCTGTTTCTTTCCTTACTTAAAAACATAACTTGCTCTGAAATAACAAGAAAAATCTCTAAGTAGCGGAACATCTACAGTTTTTAGTGAAGGCCTCAAGTATAAATGGAGCTGTGCGTGCCACCTGTGGTAGCAGATGGCAGCCATTCACAGCTTCCTTTTGTCTTGCATTATATGCAATATTTGCTTTTATCTTTTAATAGGAGTTGTTTAAAAAAATCGACAGTGGCAACAAAATGCAGATATATGCATTGAAGTGGTAGTTTACATTGAAGATAAACTTTTTAAAGTGTGAACTGGAACCTAAAGTAACCTTTTAAAAGTAATGTTACAGACTTTAATGTGAATTTTTAGGTTGTTTTTTACTTGTGTGATGCTGATGCTTTTGTTGCCACCCAGTGGAAAACTGCTGCTGCTTCACTGTAGAGAATCAGCTGTTTTTTCATTATCAGAACTGCACTGGGGAGTTTAAAGTAACACGTAAAGATGGAGCCTTCAGCTTCGGCACCTGAGCTTGGGAGATTATCATGTTAAGTTTCTTAAGTTGCAAATAAATACCCCTCCTTTCATGGCAAATGAGCCTTTTAGGAAGTTCCCTAGTGGTGCTATCCAGCTTCTGGTCTCCCTTGTGCTGATACAGGTATTTGTGGAGCTGAAATTAAAGAAACTGATTCTTTATATTTGTTCTTAAGCATTATTAACCCCCATTTCCAGGAGAGTAATTTAAAAGAAAAAAAAAAAAAAAAAAGTCATGTCAGTGTTTTGGTTGTATTTACCCTCACAGGAGTGCCAGTGGGAATGGGAAGAGAAAAGGGAGAGCCTGGAGTTTCATACATAAGTGGTCTTCATTGTCAGAAAGAATGTAACCTTCTGTATTCTGGTGGTGAACAGAAGCTCAAGAACATGCTGTTAGTATAACTATACAACTGATGTTGGCAGTATTGGGAGCAAAGATTTTTTTAAATCCATGATTCTCATAAAAATGTCAGTTATATCTGGAAATTTAGTAATGTTGTTCCCTATAAGTTAACTTTAGTCTTAATGAAGTGTGAAAGTGCTGCAGCTATGAAGGGCATTTCTCTAAGCCCTCCTGTGCCTTCAGGGAAAAAAAGGCAATACTTCAAATATTTCAGGATTGAAGGAGAGTCTAATTTCTCTGCTCCAGACTTTCAGGGAAGAAAGCTAATTTCCAGAGGCAGAGAATAGGAGCCATGACAAGAGGCCAATACTCAGTTGTGCTTGTGCTTCATCTTCAAATTGCTTTCATCTATCCTTTTTGATGGCTGTGTCAATTGGTGGTGTAATTGTTTTCAAAATGGGTATATACAGCAAATAGGAAGTTACAGTTATGATGGAGGGGTAAATGGAGTGGCAAAAAAATTTAATATGCTGAAATGAAAGTGGGATTTAAAATTGTTTTAGGTCTACTTGAAAGATTAATTAGAAAAGATACAAGAAATTAACATAAAGGCAATAAATAGCAGGGGTAGAGAGAGAGACTGGCCAAGGAAAGTGTTGCAGAAGGGAAGGCTTTGTAGAGATATAATCAGGTTTGGCAAAATCCACAAGGGGTTAATTAACGGTATTAAGTAGCCCCTGAAGTTAAAATATTCTTTAGCTATGTAGCAAAAAGAGAATTTGAACAAAGTGGATTTGTCATGCAGCTGGAGTATAGATTGAGAATAGTTTAGGCATGGTCTCAACACTAAACTGGTAAAGGAAAAGCCATGAAGCAGCAGAGGAAAAGCAAGACATGTACTGGGAACCAAAGCGTGGAATTGGAAATTTGTAGAAAATCTCAGAATTTTAAAGCAGTCAAATTGTGGTTATCAGATAATCTTTGAGCTGAGTTCAGACACAGTGGATTTGCGAAATTCCAAGTTCTGAAGGCAGCTATTTATAATGAAAATGCTTTTAATTGAAGATGGTACAATTTGATCAGAGGGAAGCACATTTAATGCCTGTTAGTAAGTCAGCAGATAGAAAGGGATAATCTTGGCCTGTCCAGAAGTGGTCCAGGATTCAGAAAGGATTTTAAGGGGGAAAAGATAAATAGAAATCAAGATACAATGCAGTATAACTCACTATCTCACTGGAAAGATAATGTCCCCAACGATCTCAATGCTTTAAGAAAACCTGCTTCTCTTTCCTTAAGATTACCTGATATCTGATGGTAAAGTGTTTGATAAAGTGCTATGGAAAATCTAAGAGAGATTAGCAGATAAAATTAACTGAATTCACATTAAAGCTTACAAAATAACTAAAAAAAAAAAAAGTTATTTTAGGTTCCAGCTCCCACTGGAACTTATTTAGTACTTATTTAGTATTAACTAAATAAGGAAACTAAGCAGAAACAATGCTTCTGTATTGGAAGAAGTTTGGGGCTGAAGAGAGGTTAATAGTAGAGAGGTTAGTAGTTTTGCATTCACCAAAATAAGGACAGTGCTAAACAAGATGAGTTTTAAAATCAGTAGTAGAGTAAGATGGACTGGCGATATTTACTGATGAGGGAATGCTGAGAAGGAGAGAGAGTAGCATGATATTTAACAGAAAGTGCCAAATGACTCTGGAATCTGTGAGGAGAGGAAAAAGTCAGCAGTAGTGTATGTATTTAGAGACTGAAACAAAGAAGCTAATCAATTGAAATGGTTGTCCAGCTGAGTTACAAAGTAACTAACACCAGTGAATGCCATTCTGGTCTACATTGGAAAAGGATGGGTACAAACTGGAGCAAATGCAAAGGCAAATTACCAGTTAGGCAACTTCAGAACCATCTTGTGAGAAGAAACTAAAAACTGGGGGTCATTTGTGTGGGGCTATGGAACATGGAGATAGGATTATTGATGGTAAACACAAACACACATGCAGGGAAGCAGAGCTTTTAAGGGGGAGAGCACTGTTTCCAGCAAGAAGAAATGGGTAGAAGTTGTTAATCAGTAAACATGGAAATTTGATTGTTCTTATTCGTAATAAGAGCATCAATATTCTAATAAAGTCATAGAACTGGAATAGGGAGATTCTTTAATATCTGTAGGTTGGGGCATGATAACTTTGTAAAGAGTGTATGATGTGTGTCCCATAGCCCCAGAATAATTGCAGGTTGATGACACTGAGGTTATCTTAAAGACTTGTATTTGTATAATCAGGGATATTTTGTGTCTGCAGAACAGGAAGCACTTTATTTAAAAAAAAAAAAAAAAGTCCCTGCTACCTTTGTGAGACCTTCTTTTCTTTGTGTAAATTGTTTAATTTTTTATATGGTAATTGCAATTTGAATTCAAACCTACACAGTACACAGTAAGAAAAGGCAAAAGAGAAATAGCCGCAGTGCAGGATGGCAGAAGATGCTGTTAGAATTTGAGGGAAAGTAGAACAAGAAGTCTCACTTCTGATGCAAATCTTGGGAACCAAGAGCTTGATGCGAGTATGGGCATAATGGTGTCATTCTAAATTCATGAAAATAGCTTTACAAATGAAGGAGAGGCAAAGTGGGGTCAGTGCAATTCAAACACATGATGACAATTTTAGCCTAAATAGAATGCTCTTTGTGACTAGATGAATTAATTACTGTAAGACAGTGTTCTTGCTTGTCATTCTGATTCTTTCTGCTTGTTAATCACTCCTAAATTGTAGCTATTGCATTAATATTAAGATTTATTACTTATGAAGTTTTGCTAATCTCCTTTCTAGTTTAGCGTTTGTTCACATATTGATGTAAATGTTTTGAAAAGTGTTTCTTATTTTATGTTTCACCTCATTGTCCTCTGTAGTACTTTCTTTCTGCCTATTAAGTGGTATTGTTCTACTGAAACACTGTATGACTGTTTTAAATGTTTTGCTTTCACAGTCAAGCTTAATTTACCTATTCAGCAAATTTCATTACATACCAAGTCTGAGCCAAGCAGGAGATTAGTATACAAAAAATAAGTTCCAGTGGTGATAAGAAGGAACATCTGTAGAATGGTTTTGATTGTTCTTTCTGCCTCATTGATCTTGTAGTGAGTTCAGTATATCCCTTCTTACTGCTTAGGATGCTGCTAACCCACTTCAGGAAAATTCAGATGTACAGGGGGTACTAACAGAACTTAGTTTGCTGTGAATGTGATGAAATTTCCTATCCTGTTAATCACATGGAAAACTTTAAGCAGGAAATCTGAGAAAATTGTTATCCAATATGATGAGTTGTAGTAAAAATGAAACAGCACATATTAATAGGGAAATGCATGTGTATTTCATTGCACAAGAAAACACTTTTAGTTGTATAAATCTCAATAGTCTTACCAAAGACATTCTTCCCCCTTTTTTTTTCAAAGAGCTGCTGATCTTTTTGAAAAAATAAAAATAAAAAAATTGGAAGAATTAATCTTCTATTTGTCCAAATTATTCGGTGTTCTTTCTCTGTGTTTTTTTATTGTTTGTTTAATTACAAGGAACATTTGCATGAAAATAGGATTTTAAGACTTGAACAACTTCTGATACTTTTTCCCAGATACATGAAGTAAACTGCATTTATTGTATTTGTAAACTAAGACAACTATTGTTTTGTAAAATGCACTGCATGCTTTTTTACACTGTATTTTACACAATCAATATTTAAGAATAAGCTTTTGAAAGGTTCCTTCTGCTTCTCTCTTGAAAATATATACTAATAATATATATACTTGTTCTCCTCCCCACCATCATGTCTTCTTCAAGACATGCCAAGGAAGTGGCATTGGTAGTAATTTCATTTCTGTGGCAAATTAAATTTGATTTCTGTAGTTCCTTCATTCTCTAAGATAAGCAGCATCTTATGTTACATCAAATCTTTTAAATCAGACTAAAGTTTGCAAGAGTTCCTTCATATTTTTAGTTTTTTCATCTTTTCAAAGGATCTTTGTAGAGAATTTTAGTAAAGAAAATCAAAGGAATTTCTAGCAAAATGTATTCAAAGTGAAGTGTAAATCCAGAAATAGAAATTTAATAGTGATGTATGCTCTACTGTTTATCAGAAGATAGAGATACTCATTTAGTTTGGGCACAAACAGGTCACTCTGTTATGGCAAAAATAGAAAGGAAAGAGACAGCACCTTACTGTACAAGTTCTAATAAGTGAACTTGGTTATTTATATCATGTCTCATGAGTAAAGTGTTTAAAACTTTATTGTGTGATCTTCTAAAATGTACATTAGGTTTTGCATTACCAGTTTAGATAATGGTCTGTGTTATTTCTATAATGTTTGTTATTTTTAATGTTTAATAATTGAACATTTAATTGTAGTTATATTTAGTGTGTTTTAGTGTTTAATGCTTAGTTAATGCTCATAGGTATTCTTTACTGCATTTTTGAGTAGCATTTTTACACAGCATATCTTTTTTAGATATTTTTATCTATTGACTGTTTGCAAAATGGGAAAATTCTGCTACAAAAGTGAATTTTATTCTGTTTAATTACAGAGTAAATAGTTTTGTGAATTAATGTTTGAAGTGTGGAATACTGTAGTTTAATCATAAATAATTTATCTGACTGAAGTTTAATAATTATTTCTATTCATTTAGATTTCTCATATTGGGAAGTTGAAAGATTTTCTTCTGCAACACAGAAAGGATTACATTAATGCTTACAGGTAAGTGTGCATTGTGTTTAAATAGATTTATCTTCAGATTTAAGAAGTGAACTGCTTGAACTGCATAATGACTAAAAACAAAGTGTAGAATGTTACTGTAAACTACTCAAATTGAAGACTAGTGCTGTCACAAGAAGAAAATTTTCCTAAATAGAATAAGATTCAGAATTTCAAGATTTCTGGCTCTTCTGAGTGAGTTCTGAAACAAAACAACCTGGCAGTCCAAGTCTAGCACCTTTTATGGACCTTCAGAGTAGGTTTCTGAAGTGGTTTCTGAGATGACAAAATAACAGAAAACGATCCAGGCTTTCCCTTTCATTCAGTGATACTAAACCTACCTGTTACTACAGACAGTGCTATCAGCAGGTCCTGGAGAATCATGATGTGAACTCTTCAGATTCTAGAATGTCTATTCCAGATGAAGGACACCACTGAGAATACTGAGTCCCAAGTCAATTTTATACCTGTCTTCAAAAGCTTCACAGGTACAAAAAGAAGTGTTATACAGACAAATATCCATCACTCAGGAGAAGGAACAGATGAGCTGTCTGATATTCCTTAGGTTCAGTCTATACTGGAGGAGCAGTTTCTGAGAAACAACTTCTAGGCCTGAAAGGGTCTGTCTCGGGAACAGCAATACTACACATACAATCAGTGGTATCAAGATGTGTCCCTAAGTAAGTTGCCAGAAGACTTCTGGCACCCTTTTAAATTTTTTTTTCTTTCTTTTTTTTAATGTTTCCCTGAGATTTTAAATGCAGTATTTTGTTGTTTCAAAAATCAAAGAAAGTGAAGAATTTGGCATGTTTTATAATATCCAGGACCATAAGAGCTACTCATAGTTGGTGCTGGTGAAAGTGAAGCTTGAGGGTGTGGGTATCAGTTCTGTGTGCAGGGTGCCCGAGGAACTGCAGCACACAGAAGCAGTGTACAGCCACATGTTGTGACAAGGTTTCTGCTTTTCAGTTCCTGTTGGAATAGGTCATGAACAACACTAGGTGGAGCTACCAATTTAATACTGAAATAACTATTTTTACTGTGTGAAAACTTCCTGTGAATGCTTAAGCTGAGAAACTGCAAATTATTTCAGTAAGGCCAAACAGTCAGTAGTGATTAAATTTTCGGTACTATTTGTATTTTGTTAAAAGTAGTGCATAAATTTGAAGTGATAAGAGGAGTTAGAATTTTTCCAATCTGTTTTGGTTTCTGAAAGTGTTTTGGTGTTCATTTTATAAAGTCTCTCTTAGCCAGGTATCATTGTAATTCTCAGTGATCTTCATCCCCCCACACACTTCAGGTATTAACTAAGGAGAGAAAAAAGTGTGATTTACTCTGGGTCTCATCTGTGATTGCAGTTGATTCTGTCCTTAATGAACAAATTTAAATAGGTAGTACTGTCCAATTACATGCTTACTTACTGCTGTTCTACTTTGTGGATGCGAAGAGGATTATAGCATCCATGCTGTCAGTCTCACAGTCCTAGCAAATGCCTCATTCAAGACAGAAGTTTTAATAACTTCTAAATATTTAAGCAATGAGGAAAATTTTTAAACAGCCTAAAACTAAAAGGTTGTGTTGAAATTTATGTAGGAGATGAGTGAAATTTAACTACTCTTTATTTTGTCAATCCAACTATTTGTTTTTCAACTACAGCATGATGTGGCTTTGGAAGTAAGCTTTTGAGTTACTGAGCTGAATCATTGTATGCCTTGTAGAACTTTTTCATTATGGTTTACATCCATCCTCGATTGCTTCTTTGACCTTACTTTCACAGACTGTAAATTCTTTAATAATACAGTTTTTATTTTCAGTATACATAAAATGCCCTGCTACAGAGGGGTTGTCTTTAATTCATATTTAGAGGAAGATTTTTAGCAATGTGAAAGACAACTGAAAGAAGGGTTGATTGAAACTAAGACCCTGATCCTCTTTATCTAACTTTAAATATTTAACTGAAATATCTAAATTGAGTCCAAAAAGCCTAAAACTTAGTAATTGCTTTTTCACTTTCTTTTGTCTTGGTTTGACTCTTAGCTGTGAAATGTGTGAATAGCAAAACACATGACACTCATGATGCAATGATCTAAGCCTACTGACTTACAACTGCACTTTTAACCCCTCCTGTTTATACGGATTTGCTTTCTCTTACACCTTGGTTTTCAGCTTTCTGTGATAAGGAACTTTTCTGTTTCATCCTGTCTATTGTGATTCTCTCCTCTGGGTAGAACTTCAGGGAGCTTTAATGCTACCAGAGTTGTGGTACCATCTTCCACTGACAGCATGAGTTTTGATGGAAAGAAACTTCATGTATATATTTGTAACACAGAATCTACAGGTAGTAAATTTGCTGTATCTTTGCTAAACAGTAAATATCAGTATTTTAAAACTGGTTTATTTCAGCTTATTGCTTCTCTCTCACTTGTAATATTGTTGGAGGAAAATCAAGATTTTCTGCTTAATTTGTTGGCTTTATTGAATCAGTAAGCAGAAAATATTTTATACATCAGCAGGA